AAAGCCAAATGCATCAGGTTGGAGCAATCATCAGTCAGCTCACTTCTAAACTGCTTTTTTGGATACTTAATGTACAATGTAAAAGGTGTACACAAAAATTGGTAGAACCTTTAAATAAAGATGTATCGGTAAAACTACATTTCATATCACATTCACCCAGATATACGGAGAAACAAATCTATAACATCAAACTGCCTTGTTAATAATGGGAGCCTTTAACTTCATTTAATAAATTGTTATAAAGGGAGAAAACAAAAGGAACACAGAAGTTTTGAGTTTAAAATATGCACAACATAAAATTAATCCATGAGTTTTCTGAGTAGTACGACAAAAGACAGAACTTACGGTGGGAGCTAAAAGTCCTCCAAAAAGCATGACTCCAGCAATAAGTGTGAAGCAGGTGGCATAGTATACTTTCAGGTTGGATGAGTTCTGAACATAGCTTATATATGAGGTAACACTCACTGAAATACTACATAAGTTTCGAGTCAAAGTATCTGACAATTATCTTTCATGTAACTCAATCAAGATTTACCAATGGCGGCAAAAATGGAATAAATGAAGGGAAATCAGGAAGCTCATTTTCCTGCTCGTCATTTACAATCCCAAGCTCAGCACTTTTAAGTCTTTGCTGTATCCTAAGCCGACGAACCTATAAAAGTTGTTAAAAGCATTATCAAAATAATGTTCGACCTTATGATCAAATTACCTCAAAATTAGAAACAAAAATTTAATTTATTCACAAATCAGAAGTTGCCGTGTGGAAGAAAAAAATAAAAAAGAGCCAAAAAAAAACGATGGGAAAGCTTAGAATCGATACCTCATAGATTGCATAGATTTAAAAATGAAAATGAAAATAAAGGAAAGCGACTGACCTCTTCTATTCAAAAATACACTATGTGTATCATCAACTATATAAGAATTGAGCTTATGTCGTTTGTGCCAAATAATTTTCTGGACGGCATGACTACGAACGAACTATTTCGTGTGCGCATATGGTTTTAATCAATTAGCTACTGGGTTAAGAGAGAGAAAAAAGAAAAGGGATTAACCTCTTCCATCTGCAGAAAGATTTTATTCCTGCGACTCCGAATATTGTCCTGAATTTCCTGTAACTCCATGGCTGCAAAGTCCTGGACCGTCTCCGGGCCTTCTATTATACAGAACCTGAAACGCGTCCCAATTACTCGACCACCACTCCATTCCACCAACAAAAACTCAA